TTTAAAGTTAGGCTTTTTTTTCAAAAAGGGCAAAAAAAAAAAAAAAAAAAAAAGTACAATGCAAGCACAATAAAAGTCTTCGGATTGTAGTCTAGAGTTCCAAATTCCTCATTGCTGTATTCCTATAATCAGAGGTGTACACAGATCCGGATTATAAATGACAGAAAGCCCGATGAATAGAATATGGCACCCCCAACAATGCGCACAGGTTTACTGAGCTGGACGTTCCATCTTTGGTGAGTTACTCCTGAGAAGTGCTGGAGGGGGGGGGTATGGTGCCATTTCTTACTGCAACCCTGGAAATGATCATGTGATTACAGTAAATTAAAGATTTGAACAATTGTACTAGAACGACCCATCTCAATACATACTAAACAGAAGCAGATGTGCAGGAACTCAGCACAGGGATCTCACCAATACAGTGCCAAGTGCTAGACGAAAAGGGTAACGTTGCAGCATCTACCAAACCTTAAAATTAGGGATGCACGGATACTTTTCAGATACCAGTGCCGATTATTGGCATTTTCATGAACTACCAGGGTTGCAGCGGGTTGCAGCTGGGACCTGGCTCTGGTCCTCCACCACTGTCCTGAAATCATTAGTCTGCATTGTTTTAGAAAAACTGTCACATGACACTAAACAGAAATGTATCAGTACTCGTATCTGTGAGTACTTGGGCAAGTATCAGTACTCGTACTCGCAAAACTGGTATCGGTGCATCCCTTATATATGTTTATAAAAACAAAATCATAAATTATAACTAGGGCTGTTACTGATTAAAAATCTCCTGTCCGATTAATCGATTTGTTTTTTTTAATCGATTCATTTTCATTAATTATAACGCACATACAGTTTCAACTACTTTTAGCTGATCTGCTTGCATTGCAACTCTGCATTAGTCAGTGGTAAATGTGGTATACACAATAAACATATACACTTTACAATAAATTGAGGGGAATTTATCAAAACCGGAGCAGACAAAATCTGGAGCCGCTGTGCATGGCAACCAATCAGCATCACCTTTCATTTTCAAAGCTTAACTGAACAAACTGAAGAGAGAAGCTGATTGGTTGCCATGGCAACTGCTCCAGATTTTTTCGCTCCAGACTGTACAACTTGCAGTCTCTGCCATAGTAAATTACATCCCACTAAAGAAAGAATTAGGGTGATCAAAATACCCAAACACACTAGCCCAAGTGGCCCCGGCTAACGAAGGGAAGGGGGAGGAGTCCGGTGACGTCACTGGACTCCTCCCCCTTTCCTTCGTTAGCCGACAGAGCCACTTGGGGAAGGGGGGAGGAGTCAGGTGACGTCGATGTCGGTGGCGTCACCGGATCTCCGACGGAACTCCCGGAAGACCGGAAAGCCGGCGGAGAGGTGAGTACTGATCAAAAGAATTTTGATCGATCAAAAAAATTCACGATTAAATCGAGGGATTAATCGTTAATTTCCGCAGCCCTACTTATAACAGAGCTGTACAAATCCCAGGAGCTCCGTGTGCTCCTTACAAATGACAGCTGCCTCCTAACTTTTTGAGTTTTCCCCTAGTCTAGTCCTGGAGCTGGAAAAGTATCTGTACTTGTACTTGTACCGAGTCCGGTTCTTGGTATCGGTGCATCCCTAGTAAAAATATCACTTTTTGGGTGAACTGACCCTTTATTTTTTGCACATGTAAGGTCTATGCAGATTAAAAAATATATTTAAAAAATCAATCAATAAAAGTGTATCTAAAGCCGAAACATTTATATTCATGTTGGATAGAGTACGGGAGGATTAAACTTCTGTCAGTGAGATTTCCCTTTATTTCCCGAAGGCTTACACAGAAAGTGAGAGAATATTTTTCCAATGGGAGGGAAATCCCCTCGTAGGAAGTGGTCACAGCAGGAACACTTGTCTCTATTGGAAGATTTCCCCTGTTTGTGTTCAGGTGGGAACCTTACATTTTGGTTTTAAACTCGCTTTCATTCCCGGTGATATTGGTGAGAATTAGAGCTAGAACAGTGGTTCTATCCCCTCACCACCCAATCTAGGGGAAAAAAGTTTTGATTTAGTTACACAATAACTTTTATTATAAAGGGAAATTTCCCCGTTCAGTCCTTTTTAAAAACACCAAGTATAGGAAAATACCTGTTGATCCTGCTATAAATCCACTGAGCTCCTAACTTCATGGGGTGGGCTAACAACACAGTGCTTCTGCTGCACAGAAATCCCAGGCAATGAAGTGTAGGGGCTTGGCAGGGGCTGTGCCCGAGTTTGCCCCAGCCCATCCCAATCAGTTGCTGCTGAGGTATTCCCAACCCCCCACCTACACATCACAAAGGGGTGGGGGATATCCCTGTCACAAGTGACTGGGTCAGATGGGGGGGAGGGGGGTTCAGTGACAGTTTTGCACAGGCTTGGGAGAACTTGGTTTGCTCTAAGCCCCTGCACATTACTAGGAGATTGGTGTCCCTCCGAATTAAGGTATACAGTTAAAAAGTTTTTAGAGAGATAAAACATGTGGAAATGTGTATGTTTTGGAGAGATGTACCCAGATTACTTTTGGCTAGAGCAGGGAGGAGTTAAAACCCATAGGGGGTACACGGTCAGCAGTAAAAACTTGACAGAGGCTCTAATCCTTCCCATTCCACCCAAAACTAACAAAAGAAAAAGGTTTTTGCTATACATACACTGACTGAAATATCATTACTGACCAGACCGACCCTTTTTAAAAGATGGCAACTTGTTACTCTTTCACAGATGATAGGTGGAATCTTAGTGGTTGCTATAGGCAACAGACTTTTTAGGAATCATTATAACTTTGATTATTGTGTCAGTGTCCCATCTCTCAGCACATCCAGCGAGCACCCTTCAGATTCCAGCTGGCCTCGTGTTCCCCATGAATTCAGTGTGAGTTCATTTCAAAGTTCCGCTGCTGCCGTCATCATAATCATTCAGAAAGTTTCTTATAAAGTTCCCAAATATGGATATTTGATTATAGATGATTGCCGTCCGTGTCCTTGATTGTGATTGCGGGTGTAGGGCCAATGCGAGTCCAAATAAAGCCTCTCTCAGGGCGGGAGGGGAGAGTAGGGAACGGCGACGAGCGAGATTTGAAGTACTCAGAGGGGGCATGACAGACAAAGTCTAAACAATCCATTTTGCGCGGGAGGTCTTCATCCGGTCCTAGAGGAGCCAAAAGAAACCAATAATCACACGCTACAAACCAAAACATGACAGAGCACTACCAAGGGGACATGGTGACAGACATTTTATATTAGGGATGCACCGATACCAGTATTGGTATCGGTGCCGATACCGAGTATTTGGGCGAGTACTCGTACTTGTCCAAATGCTCCGATACCTTTCCCGATACTGGAACTTCCGGTCAGAGGAAGATTTCCTCTGATCGGCAGTGCTGCGAGGAAACATGGAGTCGGGAAGCTGGCTCCATGCTGTTTGGCCGGCTTAATGCTGATTGGCCGGGAAGCCCAGTCAATCAGTGTTGAGCCGGGCAAACAAATCTGATAATATGGCGACACGACCCCCACCCTGCAGGCACCTCATTCCCCTCACATAGATCCTTAGCAGCATTCATTAACGTGCCAGTCCCTCGTGCCAGAGATCTGTCGTCTCCTATGTGCACAGCGCCCACGTGATCGGCCCCCAGCCTGCTACTGCACATGATTTCTGAATGAGAGCGCTGGGCAGTTTGCGCATGCGCAGTAGCAGGCTGAGGGCCAATCACATGGGTGCTGTGCACACAGGAGACTCCAGATCCAGGAGAGCTTGGAGAGCGGTGTCTGCTCAGCTGGCCGAGGGACTGGTACGGTAATGACTGCTGCTAAGGATCGATGTGAGGGGAATGAGGTGTCTTCAGGGTGGGGTCGTGTCCCCATATTGTCAGATCTGTTTGGCCAGCCTCGATGCTGATGGGCTCGGAAGCCGTCTTACCTGCCAATCAGCGGCCAGCCGGTCCAAACAGAATGGAGTTGGCTTCCCGGGCAATTAAGAAGCCTTTCTGGCTTCCTGATTGCCTGGGAAGCTGGCTCTATGCTACCGGAAGTACCGATATCAGTATCGAAATATAAACATCAGTACTCATACTCGATACCGGAAAACTGGTATTGGTGCATCACTAGCTTATATCACCCAATACTATGCAAGCATTCTGTATATAATTATCAACAAGGTAGTTAAACCATCCATGAGCTGTAGAGAAGTGATAATTCTCTCTCCGGAAAGATCTGTTTTCTTAATGTCTGCCTAGATGTTCGTTCATGGATGGTTTCAGCTCACTTTGTTGATGTTGAGCGTAGAACTCTCCTTCAATCTCTGCTGCTGCTGTAGGATTCCGCTGGCTCCACACTGTGACCAGCATTTTTTTTAACAGGAGAACTATGGGGTCAGTGTTTTTCCCCATAGTTCTCCTTAGGGTAACGGGAGGACACAAACTAGCGTCCTCCCGTTACCCTAAGCTCAGTATACCGCGAGCTACAGCTCGCGTTATACCGAGACGCCGCAGCCGGAGCGGATCCCGACATCGATGTCGAGATCCGCCCAGCTGCGTGAGTGACAGCTGGCTCTGCCTATCTAGAGGCAGAGCCAGCTGTACCCGCCCCCTCCCCCGTCCGATCCGCCAGTCAGCGCTGGTGGATCGGAGCGGGAGGGGGGAATCCAGCCCCTCCCCTGTCACGGTAGACAGCCGTGACAGAATCGAGAGGTGAGCGAACGCCGGTATCTGTTTGCTCACCTCCCGATCTACTGAGCCGACCTGTGACAGTCTCATTGTCACAGGTCGGCTAGAACTATGAGGTGAGTGAAAAGCACTCACCTCATAGTTCTCCGTTAATGGGCCCCGAATGGCAGGCCGTGATATGTAGCAACCCCACACCCTTCTACGCACCTGTCCTGGCACCAACTTCCACAACCTCAAGCAAATCTAGGCTGTGTGATAGAGTGACTGTTTTCTATAAGCCGTGCCACTTCTCTGTCCCTGCGCCCACACTCCACCTTCCCCACAGTCACATTCACTTAACGAAATCCATTAACCACTCCGCAAATGGTCAAACAACTCTTTCAGAGAAACCTCCGTATACTGCTGTGTGTGCGTGCTGGGTCCTAGGCTGACCTTTCATGATACTGCACTGTCCATTCTCACTCGGAATACAGTAGTCTCTGGGCAGCCAGTCTCTCACTGCTGGGTTGTGTAAAGAGAAGGAGAGAACACAAGCTGTCACTTAAGAGACTGGCTGGCCGGAGTCTACTGCATTCCTAGTGAGAACGGACAATGTAACATCGAGAGGACACAAGACACTGCGGCAGCCCAGCTGCTCAATGGTACACGGAGGTTTTTCGGAAACCTAATGTCAAGGCAAAACAAAGACAATCATATGCAGTACATCTTTGGGGGTAACTTTGGGTAATGTCCGGCCATACACTTACATATGGACATGTCTTGAGAAATCTGCAGCTGGCTGTTTCTCTTTGATATATTTGACACTGTCTGGATGGATTCAGCAGATGAAGGATTGTTATACACACCTATGATGTAAGTAGCTGGATCGAAGTGATCTTTGGGACTGGCAAGGGTAGGGATGAGCCAAGTCAGAGCCGCACTCTTCTCACAGTACTGGTCCTGAATGAAGCCTCGGATCTGAGCATAGTACATTTGTCCATCTTCCTCGTCAATGACAGACACCACGTCGCCGATCTGATAGTACAGCCCCTGCAACAAGTCACATCCTGTGAAGTATTGTCTCATTCAATACTACTTGTGCAAATTAAAAGCATAGAGCATCGAAGGGTTGGAACCCCTCAGGTTTTTATGGCTGTGTGTCCTTACTATCTGTCCTGGTGACCACTGCCACTGGGAATAAAAGTGAGGCCTTTTTGTTTTTTTTTAGTTATCACCACAACAGGAATAGCGGGAAATTGTCCAATAGGGTCACTTCTTCCAGGGACAACTGTCTAGAGCAGATCCGCCCCCTATTTGGATTCACATCACTTTGGAGAGATATACTCTTACTTCCTGTTGTGTTTACCAGACAGGAAGTCAATGCAAATGTCTAGGATGGGACACTGGTGCAGGAAAAAAAAAAAAGAACTGCATACTTTTGAGGACTACAGTGTCTCTTTCCTGGAGACCAGTCACTGCTGCTTTATCCCCTTTATGCTGAGTGACCAGTCCACTAACCTACCCTTAGTAATTCAGATCTATTGGGCTTCTGACACAACAACACTAATTTCTATGGGCATTCCCAGTAAAGCTAATATGCTGTTTATTATTTGCTCATATCTGCTATGGTGTCCATTATCTGCCCATAACAGCCGGCTTACATGATACCCACAATCCTCCCAAAAAGTGAATCAATACGGGGCGATGGCAAAGTCATACTCTTTTCCATTAACCCCTCTAGAGTACAGGCCTGAGATTTGCTCCCCTGGAACATCTCATGGTGTACTAGTAAGCATACCTAGAATTGTGGCACTCTGGCTAGTGCCAGTTTTACAGGGTTGTGACATCACTGCCAGCAGTCCCGTTCTCCACGCTGGCGTGATTCAAACGAGAATTATGACACTAAGCATAACAGAAACGTATAGATCAGTAAGGGATCAGTAAGGGATCATGGCACATAGAATAATCATTTATTTTTTATAAATGTTATTTGTATAGTGTATTTATGTATTTGATATAAGACCTGTTTTATCTATCTATCTCTATGTATATACCTACACACGCACGCACACGCTTTTCTTGAGACTTTTTGTCTATCCTGTGGAAATAAATGATTATTTAAAAAAAGCATTTTTTACATTATTACACCCAGTGGGTGCGGCAGATCTTAAGGTGTGTTTTTGCTTTGCCTGGAGTCAGCTTTAAATTCCCTGGGTGATATTTATCAATTCTGTTGCACAGCAAGGCAATGCTATGTTGGAGTACTGGAATAGATTAGGAAAAAGATTTACTATAAGGTTGCAGCTTGCTCCCTCTGCTGCTTTATAGTAGCATTGCGACAGAATGAAAACTTGTCCCCGACCACTTCTTAAAAGGAGAACTATGAAGCGAGTGATTTTCTCTCAACCTCATAGTTCAAGCCGATGTGTGACAATGAAACTGTCACACGTCGGCTCAATAGATCGGGAAGTGAGAGAACACATACCGTCGCTCGCTTCTCAATCCTGTGCCCAGCAGAGAGCCGTGACTGTCACTCACGGCTCCCTGCAGGGAGGGGGGAATCCCTGTCTGATCCTCTAACGCTGACTGGAGGAACGGACGGGGGAGAGGGCGGGTACAGCTGGCTCTGCCTCTAGATAGGCAGAGCCAGCTGTCACTGACGCAGCTGGGCGGATCTCAACAGTAATGTCGGGATCCATCCCAGCTGCGGCGGTCTCAGTATAGCTCGCGGTATACTGAGCTTTGGGTCACACTATACTGAGCTTTGGGTCTCCCGTGACCCTGAGAACTATAGGGAAAAACACTGACCACATAGTTCTCCTTTAATTGTCATTTTCAGTGACTAATCTGTCCCCAATGAAGCCCAGGATTCCAGACCAGCGGATCACAAATAAGTCTGATTTGCGTCCAATTGTGTCACAAATCTACTTGACAAATGTCCCCACTGTGTGTAAACATAATAACATAAAAGCATATTTCAAGCAATCAGTATATACAGAAACATACCTTATGGAATAAGGATTCTGAGGTCACTATGGTGGACACTGATTCCGGTGCCTTAATAGGCTAAACAAATGAAAACATTATATGTTAAATAGTGTAGATTTAACTTATAGAAGCCCAAAGTACAAATATGAAATATGTGAGCAGCAGTTGCTGACCTCCTTCTCAAATTGCTGGGTTCCTGGCTTGTGATAATACATGCCGCAGTAAATATATCATTTTATAAGGCTGCAAAGTGAGGCTGGCAACACTTTGTAGATGTCATTTTATTGAAAATTCGGGAAAGGTCTTGAAAGCTCCCACTTCCTGCTCTTTACAATACCGGATTATTTATCTGAATTTATCAGAACACTGCTAATGGCACATTGGGGCATTGTCACAGATTATAGACAGCATTATCTGTACTCCAACAGAGTGGATCTGAAAAGTACATGGGGGATTTTTTTTCTTTTTTTATTACATTGAGCAAAATAATTTGGCTATTCATATTTATTTAAAAAAAAAAAATCATGAGATATTGTTTATCATTCAGACGTGTGGTTGTCATTTAAAGCAGAAGTAAAGTGCAAATTCTAAAAGATTAAGGACGGGCAGCTTTGTTTTTGTCAAACACACACAAACTGGTGTCTTCCCGCCACCAAGAGCACAGTATACCGCGAGCTACAGCTCGCGGTAAACTGAGACGCCGCAGCCGGAACGGATCCCGACAATTCTGTCTGGATCCACCCAGCTGCGTGATTGACAGCTGGCTCTCCCCTCCCCGTCCGTTCCGCCAGTCAGCGCTGGAGGATCGGACAGGGGAGAGGGGGGAATCCCTGCAGGGAGCCGAGAGTGACAGTCACGGCTCTCTTCAGTGATAGATCGAGAAGTGAGCGAGCGACACTATGTGTTCGCTCACTTCCCAATCTACTGAACCGACCTGTGACAGTCTCATTGTCACAGGTCGGCTCAGATTATGAGGCTGAGTGAAAATCACTCGCCTCATAATTCTCCTTTAATATTCATAGGCGGATGAGCGTGTAGCTATCTACTTGTCATTGATTTGAATGATACTCCTGACGGTGGTATTCTGAAAACCAGGGAGGTGAAAAAAGACTGAGACGTGATTTTTTTGTACATCGCTGGCTTACATTAGTTGTCACTTTCCTGTGCAGATTAGTCGGCAGTAGGAATAGATATACACGTACGGGGTAGATAGCACAGGTTTTGTGGACATGTATAATCTGTGACTATGCTGTGCGAACATTGCTGCAGCATTTTTTTTTTTACCCACTTAACTTCTGCTTTATAGCGACTGTATCAATTCAATAAAAATAAAGTGTACCCTGCAAAAAAGTGACAGATAAGGTGAGAATAGAACAAAAGGTTAATTGACTGCTGTCTAAATTGTCCTTTGTATGTATGTAACCTTAGATTGTAAGCTCCTTGAGGGCAGAGACTGATGTGAATGTGCAACTATGTAAGGCGCTGTGTAAATGGTCTATATGAAATAACAGTAATACATAAATAAGTCTCTAAAAAAAAAAAAAAGGAGACTATGAAGGGCTACACTCACGTGGAGTGTTAAAGAAGTGTTGTCAGAAAATGCATCAAAGAAAAATGTAAAAGAATTCTGACATTTTTATTTTAGCAACACTGTCGCTGTGAGGAAATCTCGGTTTATATATCTTTTAAATGACATTCATAGTTTGATCACGCCAGGATTGTGACACGTCAACAAAAACCAGGAAAGATCGGCTTACATTTTTCAGCTTAAAAATATGTCGCCTTCCTTTGCCTTTGGTGGAAACCTTCTTTTCTACAGCTGGAGCCGACTTATACTTTGTATTCCTCAGACGGGCAGATCTTCTGTGGATTTCCTGCTTGGACTAATAGAAGGAGGGGGGGGGGGGCATTAGTATTTCATACAGTAAATGCTACAACTATCTGGGAATTGTATAAAAAGTTTTGTAGTTAAAGAGAAAACCCAGAGGTTTTTTGTCTTATATGCAAAGCATTTTGAGCTTTCTAAAACAAGGATCCCATTCTAAAAACAGTATGCTAGATGCAAAGCATGATCTTCCTACCGTAGTTACTGATATAGTAGTAATATTATATCTGTCAGGGCAATGCAGAACTATGGAGCATTAGTAGTAACTACAGCAATCCAACAATCGTATTTATGAGAAGAAAAAAAAAAAAGGCACACCTGCTTAGTGCTGCCCCCATTACTCTGTTGGGAGGTTGAGGCACTGGCAAAGCTAGTTCCGCTCTGAGAAGTATTGGAGCTGCTTGCACCAGTGTAATTGCTGCCCCCACCAGTGGCCTTGCCAGTGCAGTTATTGCATAGGATTTCCCCCTGATTTCCTTTCTTCCACATGGAAGAGGAGTTGGTTTTGCACATAGTGCATGTTGGCTTCAGTCCAAGAGGCATCTATGGAAAACATCAAAATTATTAGTGGAAATTAAAAAAAATGTACACACACACACCTACCTACAGGCTAATGCAGCATGATGAAGTAAGGGGGTGGGACTTGGAAAGGGATATTTTTCTTGCAAAGGCTGTACCTAACAAAACTGAGGAGAAGGGATGAAGTATTTTAGTATACTGGCTACACTGAGGCAAATGGAGAGAATATATAAAAGGACGACTTCACTAAAAGTCAAGTAGTCCTTTAATAGTATCTTGAGGCCTCATTCACACAAGAATTCTCACACACTGTCATGCAAGCTACATCCAAAGGTGGCCATCTGCCTCTAACCACAGGTAAAAGCCGCATATGCGGTTACATCTGATTACAGGCAGACAACTGTAGACCTGTAATTGCTTTGTACAGTCTGTGCATAACCACTTGTTATTCCTGCCGCAAGAATCCACAGCCAGACTTTAGAGCAGCGGTCTCAAGGTACCGGCCCGCGAGCCAATACTATGTAGCCTGCAGCCAGGTACACGGTCACGGACCGCATAACTGACTTGCGGGAGCAGCTACATGGTCTGCATCTCTATCGGATACAGACCACACAGCTGCTCCTTCCGGCACTGAGAAAGAAAGGATGGATTAGTGATGTCTGCAGCAGACCTCACTAATCACCACTAGAGCACCCGGGATCTATTTATATGTACAGGGGGTAGTATTTTTTCATGTGTGTGGGGGAGTGTATTATTTTATATGTGCAGGAGTAGGTTGTTTTTTATGTGTACGGGGGGTGTTGTGTATTATTTTATATGTGCAGGGGTAGGTTTTTTTTTATGTGTAGGGGGGTTTATTATTTTATGTGTATGGGGGAAGTGTATTAGGCTACATTCACACCTGTATCTTTAGGTGCACTTAGGAATTCCTGCATCAGGAATCATATTACATACCATTATATGTGGTGTGCAGGCATTTACATGCAGTGGCTATCACCTGATCATTACCTTGAACAGGTGACAGCTGCCACTTGTAAACACCAGATTAGGCATTCCTGCTGCAGAAAAACGCAAGTTCCTGACGCAGGAATCCCTGATCGTACCTAAACTTCAGATATGAATAGGACCTTATTGTGTGTGTATTGGGGTCCATAGTACCAAACCGGATATAGTTACATTTTATTTTGATGTACAGAATTTGGCAAGCCGGCCACCATGGGAGAAGTGCCCCCCCCAATTCAATTGAGTTTGAGACCCCTGCCTTAAAGCATCATGTGAATGAGTCCTAACAGTATGCATACTCAGCCAGAAATGCATGTTTTGTGCATTCTCTAACTCAGCCTTTCTCAACGAGGGAGCCTTAAAAATGTTTGCACAGTGTCATGCATTTCCATGGTCTAGGTGAGCCAGCCACGAGTACCGTGGAAATGCATTACGTTAATCCAGGGTGGGCTGCATTCAGGACCTCCTCCAGCATTCAGAAGAGGGAAGAAATGTGACTCTACCCAGAGCTCGTCCACCCTCTACCCTGCTGCAGCAGCCATGCTGTGGTGAAGATAATGATGTGAAGGGGGGACTGAGATGTAAAGAACACCACTTTTTCTTCTTTGTGCTGTTTTTTGCGTGGAGTGCCCCTTAAAATCCATACCAGACACCTATCTAGGATTAGGGTCTGGTATAGATTTTGAGCTGGAACTGCACATCATTGTGTCTACATTTTCTACAGTTTACACTGGGGTGCCTCGAGATTTTACATACTTCTAAAGGGTTCCACGACTGATAAGAGGGTGAGAAATGCTGCTGTAACTACCCCAACTGTGACAAGAAGATGACAATAATCCAAACAGTACAGAGCAGAGTCTTGTGGGTGCACTGAAAAATGATACTCACTTTTATACATTAAAAGGCCCCTCATCTACCAGTCACCTGTAAGAGATGAAAATGATGCATAATAATACAAACCAACCATTTCATCACACCAACTTGAAGGCAACTTTAAAGTCAGCCATTTTAACTTCAGCTCTTCTCACTCTATGAACTAGAGCAGTACTCACACTTCAACAATCGGCTAATGATTTATGAGATCAAAATTATATGTAACTATTGTTTTATAACAAAGTCGACATTGCACTAATATATAGAAAAACCTCAGGTCTCAGTGGTGGAATGATGAGTCCCAGCATGCTTCACAGAAGAAGCACAGGTCCCAGCATACCCTGGGGTGGAATGCTGAGTCCCAGCATGCATTACAGAGGAAGCACTGGTCACAGCATACCCTGGGGTGGAATGATGAGACCCAGCATGCTTCACAGAAGAAGCACAGGTCACAGCATACCCTGGAGTGGAATGATGAGACCCAGCATGCTTTACAGAGGAAGCACAGGTCACAGCATACCCTGGGGTGGAATGCTGAGACCCAGCATGCTTTACAGAGGAAGCACAGGTCACAGCATACCCTGGGGTGGAATGATGAGACCCAGCAAGCTTTACAGAGGAAGCACAGGTCACAGCATACCCTGGGGTGGAATGATGAGACCCAGCATGCTTTACAGAGGAAGCACAGGTCCCGGCATACCCTGGGTTGGAATGGGGAGTCCCAGCATGCCTTCTAGAACAGGGCCCAGTATAACCTAGTGCAGAATGAGAATCCCTGCAGGCCTTGCAAAACAAAGGTCTCAGCATACCCTGGGGTAGAATGAAGAGTCCCAGCATGCCTTACAGAGGTAGAACAGGTCTCAGCATACCCTGGTATGGAATGATGAGTCAAAGCATGCTTTGGAAAGCACAGGTCTCAGCATACCCTGGGGTGGGATGATAAGGGCAGGGCTATCACACACTAGGATTCATAGGTAGATGGCAGCATGGTGATGTCACCTATCGCAGCACCTCTACTTCTCGTATATATACAAAGTCAGATGATGCCGAGCTGTAATCTATATAATGTCAGCGCGCACACACCTCTGTCACCCAGCCTCCTCCAATCCAAGCTCTCCCGCTCCTCTTATGTAAACATAACACGACCCGACTGACGGAACACACACATTCACTTCCGGGTCACGGCGTTTTTCTGTTCCTCATTCGCCAGCCGGGGCGTGACGTCGAAGAACCGCAGCCAATCAGCACGGGGGTGCGCGTTCTGTTATTTTTCTGCGACCCGCCGCTTTTCTAATGATGTCAAATAAGTTTGTTTTCATAGTTCTGGTTGTTGGCGGGGGTTGCTGCTTTGCTTGTAGTAGCCATTGATCATTGATCCCGCCTTCTGAGTTGCCAGACTGGTCTACACTGAGAAAATGTCTAATAATAAAATAGTCAAAATATTTGTCAAAACAACCAGAAGGACATTCCTTGCCTCCATTCATTATACCAGTAGACCTTGCCAGGATTTTATAAAATGTCATATTTATCTAGCAGTGTGTGTGTGTGGTCACATAGCTGCAGTTATTGTGTGCATGTACACATATTTGGGCTCAGACTTAAGCCTGTGACACACTGCATGCGAAGTAGTGTGGAGCGATGGTGCGTGGACCTTGTGCAGTGCGTCATTTAATTTTCCCTCCGGCACATCAGCTTGCGACAACTCATAACTGAGCGTTCCAAGATGAAAAATGTAATCTTCAGCCACTTGGCTCGCTCGTATAAAGCCACGCATCAAGATGCGAAGTCCAGTTGGTTGTAACACGTAAGCCGATTGGCTGAAGATGCACCCTTTCATCTTGGCCACGCCCAGCTCACACACTAAATGTGAACGTCCATGCTTCACACATTTGCTTTGCTCGGCATAGCTCCGCATAGGGATGTCCCGATACCGGTACTAGCATCGGTTTCGGGACCGATACAGGGCATTTTGACAAGTACCTGTACTTGTCAAAATGTCCAGATACATAGCGCCGGAGCTTGCGCTATGGGTTTTTTTTTCTTACCTCGCTGAGCGTTGCATCACTGCTGCTCCAGTGGGCGGCACTCCAGGTGGGGTTCTAATTTAGGGGGCCGGCGACCCCCTAGAGGACCCCACTCGGAGCGCCACCCACCGGAGCAGTAGTGACGCAACGCTCCTCTTCAGTTCAGTGCCGGAGAGCAGTGGCGAGTCAGCGTTGGTCCGGTGTAGGCGGAGCTCCAGGTGCGATCTTAATTTAGCTGGCCAGCACCACTGGCACCATGTACTATGTACTACATATAGAATGCACTGCAACAATAGATTTACAATTATCCAATGCTAACATGAATAGGTTAAATGATCCCTAGTACATAATAGTACATAACATGTAGTTGTACTACGGATCATTTAACCCATTCATGTTAGCAGTGCAGAATTGTAAATCTTTTTCGAATACGGAAATTTCGTATTTCCTGCCTGTATTGTAATGCAACCTTCAGCAGCAGAACAGAAAACCTCTGATTGGTCAACCAAACAGTCATTTTTTTTAATACGAAATTCCGTTAACAGATTTCGTATACAAATTTCGGATAAAAAAAAAATCTTGTCATGTTGTTCAACCTCAGTCACAGGGGTAATGTTATTAGTTCCCGTTTCAACGAAATTCAGATCCGAAATTCGTTAACGGAATTTCGTATTTCAGATACATTCGGAAACTGCAATTCGGTTTTCGGATGCTTCCGAATTTCAGGAAATTCGTACGAATTTCTTTTCGTAACGAAACGAATCGCACATGTTTACTATGGATCATGATTTAACCTATTCATGTTAGCAGGTGATAATTGTAACTCTATTACTGCAGTGTACTGGACGTGTGTACTGTATATGTACTATGGATCATGATTTAACCCATTCATGTTAGCAGGGCAGAATTGTGAGCGCCTCCCACAAGCTGAGCACCGAGATGCGATGCAGCGATCCTGCCCAGCGCTGACTACAAGAGGCACCGCGTGAGGCAACAGGGATTGGAGTGAAACTGTGAGTAAGGGAAGCTGGGATGGGGATGGTTGTAAATCTATTGCTATAGTGTACTGGACGTGTGTAATGTATATGTAAAGTATCACCCTAACCGTTGGCTCCGCTCATCCCAAGACCTCCTGCTTTCCAGCTCCCTTGTCAACTCCTCCCATTCTCGCCTCCAGGACTTCTCAAGAGTCTCTCCCATCCTCTGGAATTCTTTACCTCAACCTGTGCGTCTGTCACCCACCTTGACTGCCTTTAGGCGATCCCTAAAGACTCATCTCTTCAGGGAAGCCGATCCCACCTCAACCTAACCACTGAACCTTCACATTCTCACATAATTCATCCCCACACAGCTCCCTCCTCATGTATCACTTCCCCCTCCCTTTTAGATTGCAAGCCCTCAGGGGCAGGGCCCTCCTTACCATCTTGTCTTGAATTGTATTGTGATTGTAATGTCTTCCTTATATTGTAAAGCGCTGCACAAACTGTTGGAGCTATATAAATGCTGTATAATAATAATAATAATAATATGTAGTACATATATACAGCACACACCTCCACTACACTCCAGCAATAGATTTACAAGTCTCCCCTGCTAACATGAATAGGTTAAACCATGATCCATAGTACATAACATGTAGTTGTACTATGGATCATTTAAAGTCACCTGTCCCTTTAGGGAAAAGTATCGGTAATTGGTATCCGCAAGTACATGAGGGGAAGTACTTGTACTTGGACCTGAAAAAGTGGTATCGGGACATCCCTAGCTCCGCATGCAGTGTGTCACGTGCTTTAGACATGTCTGAAATCATTCAGAATTAATTAATGGATCCATTTGACCCAGTTGACCTCCTTCTGACCTGCTTTTTTTTCTTTCAGGGTTGTTAAAATTGCTGTTTCAGTTTCCCTAAGAGCCCAGTTCTGCTATTGAGTTGCAGTAACATTCAGAAGAAACACATACAGTATCTCACAGAAGTTAGTACACCCCTCACATTTTTGTAAATATTTTATGATATTATGTCATGTGACGACACAGAAGAAATGACATTTTGCTACAATGTAAAGTAGTGAGTGTACAGCTCGTATATCAGTGTACATTTGCTGTCCCCTCAAAATAACTCAACACACAGCCATTAATGTCTAAACCGCTGGCAACAAAACTGAGTACACCCCTAAGTAAAAAAGTCCAAATTGGGCCCAAAGTGTCAATATTTTGTGTGGCCACCATTATTTTCCAGCACTGCCTTAACCCTCTTGGGCATGGAGTCCACAGAGCTTCACAGGTTGCCACTGGAGTCCTCTTCTACTCCTCCATGACGACATCACAGAGCTGGTGGATGTTCGAGACCTTGCGCTCCTCCACCTTCCGTTTGAGGATGCCGCACAGATGCTCAATAGGGTTTAGGTCTGGAGACATGCTTGGCCAGTCCATCACCTTTACCCTCAGCTTCTTTAGCAAGGCAGTGGTCGTCTTGGAGGTGCGTTTGGGGTCGTTATCATGTTGGAATACTGCCCTGTGGCCCAGTCTCTGTAGGGAGGGGATCATGCTCTGCTTCAGTATGTCACAGTACATGTTGGCATCCATGGTTCCCTCAATGAACTGTAGCTCCCCAGTGCCGGCAGCACTCATGCAGCCCCAGACCATGACACTCCCACCTTCATGTTTGACTGTAGGCAAGACACACTTGACCCCCCCTTCAACCTCTGCAGCAATGCTGGCAGCACTCATACATCTATTTTCCAAAGACAACCTCTGGATATGACGCTGAGCACGTGCACTCAACTTCTTTGGTCGACCATGGCGAGGCCTGTTCTGAGTGGAACCTGTCCTGTTAAACTGCTGTATGGTCTTGGCCACCGTGCTGCAGCTCAGTTTCAAGGCCTTGGCAATCTTCTTATAGCCTAGGCCATCTTTATGTAGAGCAACAATTATTTTTTTCAGATCCTCAGAGAGTTCTTTGCCATGAGGTGCCATGTTGAACTTCCAATGACCAGTAGGAGAGTGAGAGCGATAACACCAAATATAACACACCTGTTCCCCATTCACACCTGAGACCTTGTAACACTAATTAGTCACATGACACCGGGGAGGAAAAATGGCTAATTGGGCCCAATTTGGACATTTTCACTTAGGGGTGTACTCACTTTTGTTGCCAGCGGTTTAGACATTAATGGCTGTGTTGAGTTATTTTGAGGGGACAGCAAATGTACACTGATATACAAGCTGCACACTCAGTACTTTACATTGTAGCAAAGTGTCATTTCTTCTGTGTCGTCACATGACATATCATAAAATATTTTCAAAAATGTGAGGGGCGTACTAACTTCTGTGAGATCCTGTATATACAACACATAAAAACACACCTGAGCAATAGCACACCACAATGCACTGATGTGAGTGCTCTGTGTTCTGGTTTTGCTGCATCGACAAAGATATTGAAGGTGCATTTTCTTTCTCAAGGATCTAAAGTCAGAAAGTGTCTTACAGCTGACCTTCACACTGCCCACTCATTGTCTCTCACCCCCCTCACCTAGGTGAGAATGATCTATATATGTTCCTTATAGCCTCCTGAGATACTCACATCACACATCCCAGGGGGTCTCGAGGTACTCTATGGAATATGCGCTGTGGCATCAAAGAGTTGGCTGTCCCTTCCTGGTTATTATCCCCTGATGGTGTGCCATGGTGCACCGGCACCTGAGAAAGAGGGATCTGCAAAAACCCAGAAGAGACAGCGGGCCGCCTGATGACATCACAGGAGAAGATGGCATGGGACTGGCTGTGCAGCAGTAGAGCAGTCCAATTCCCTACAGAATATCGCTTACCACGTGAATGTTTTTCTTCTTAACTCAGTGACGAAAAAGGTAAAGGGCAAAATGGAGGGGTGGTCGAGTTCCTCTTTAAATCCGTGTGCCCAGACTTGTCAACTTACCCTAAAATTAAAGGAGTTACCCAGTTATTTTTTTACACCTCTCCATTGTTCTCCTGGCATGATATATAAATCTTCCATTCTTCTAATTCACCAGAAGACCGCCGTCACGAGGAGACCGAGATCCGATGTTGCCCTCTTTCCTGCATAATCTTCAGGTGCTCCAATTTTTGCGAAAGAATTCCAGGATTTTAATTAAGAGTCAATGGATT